TTTACCTCATGTCTATTACTGTCCCTGCAAATTTGCAGCGCTGACTAATAACAGAGACATAAATGAGTGTAATAAAGTTTAAGTTCAGGGCAACATGCTGCTACATAATGTTTTATGTGTTTGAACAAGGTTAGGGTTAAATTACTGTGTGCTTAATGTACACTCTGAAAAGAGAAAGCAGTGTTCACCTGCTAAAAATCCTAACATTCATCCAACAAAAAATTAAAATGTACTATAACAGTAATAGAATTACTGTCAATGAAGAATAAGAAGATATTCATGTTTCAGAAGCTAAAAATATTATTTCATAAAACTTTTTTAAAATAGCTGTTGTTCAGTTTAATAAGTGATCTTCTATCTCTTCCGTTTGTTTAGGTTGCGAGGGAACTAGACCAGGGATCGAACCAGCAAACCAATGATTGACTTGCTGTAAGGCAACAGCACAAACTGGCCCTCCATCACGTGACCCTTTGTTGACAACTTGACTAGGTTTTGCGGGCCAAAGAAGAAGTTTAAACCTCCCTAAAAACATGCACTCCAAAACAAAAGAACTGCAAGGTTTTCCTAAAACACTGAAACTTTTTTACATGTGCATCTCTTTTTTTCTTTCTTTTTTTTTTAAAGAAAATGGTGATGGTACTGGTTTCATTCTGTTTGAATTGAATAATCTTTGTTCTAAATGAGACAAGTCAAGATAAAGCATGAATACACTTCTTGGCCTTTCACCTGAAGGAAGCCATTGTGCATCTGGTGGGGATTTGAGTGCCATTTCTTTCAGGGGACAAAGTTAGGGCCTGCCTTTCAGCCAGAGAAACCAAGTGGCACGACTTCAAAGATTTTTCGTAGACTTAAAACCATGCAACACTCAGAGTTCAGCCCAACGTCAGGGGGTGCAAAGACGTGAGGAGAGAAATCCAGACCAAAGCGCCAAGAGTAACACAGTTGAATTGTATTAATAATGCAGTGACTGGAACAAACAAACTGCTGTGTTAAATTTTTCCCAAAAGCATCAAATAAAAGCACACAGCATCTTCACAAGGAGTTGAGTCCCATGTCATTAAATGATCCGTAATGGCTCTGCCTGACTCTGGGCCAAACGTACATCTGGGTAACGTAAAGTGGGCTCTGGTAAAATAAATGAGCCCTAAATTAAACCAAATGGGCGTACATACCCACAAGACCATGCCACCGTGTCCTGGAGCTATGACAATTTTCTACCTCACTGTGTTGCTTTGCATGCAATCGGCCAGATTTACACACAGGCTTGCGTATTTAAAATCTGTTTCTGTGCCAGCGATGAGGAGAGAATGAGAGCAGGTTAAAAAGCTCTGCTGGCACACACAATGAGCTGGCTCTGTCAAAATGTTGGTGGTGAATGTGACATTTCACGATTCT